CATGGTTATACTTATTAAGCAGGTCCATAGACAGCTGGACCAGGAGTGAACAAAAGCTTATTCATAAAATTACCTTAGCAGCGAGATGAGCTGTGGCCTCGGACTGGCTCAAGCAAGGCATGCCATCAATAGCAGGGGTGATAATTAGGATTAAAGAGGTACACTTAATTGATGAACTAACAGCTAGGATCAGAGGCACCTCAAAAAATTTCCAAAAGAATTGGGAACCATGGAAAAACTGCACCTTGGGACAATAGGCATCAACACGACTAGGCAGGTAAACTACATATTGAATGCCCAACGCCCTCCCTCCCCCCTCCCCCCTTTTTTCCTATCTGGTCTTTCCTATCTATTCTATCTTTACTTATCTTTTCATCTCTTCTTGAAGGGAGGAGCTAGCACGTAATAGCAACTAGCACGCAACTCGAGTTGCCTATATGACCTATCACTAGTACCCACCATGGGAGGTCCGAGCAAATTCGAGAACCTACCATTTGAAAAAAAGGGGGCTTGGCGGTAGTCTAAAGACCAAATAGATAGTTGGAAATACGCAGACACAGAGCCCATACATAGCATCAAATATAAGGCTAAGTGGAGTTGAAACTTAGAAACCCTGGTGGGGACATAGAGAATACAGTATAGCAACCGTGCTAGATACATACCTCTCTATAAGTTATCTCTTTACGTTTATCATATAAAAATTATTTTGTTGATGTTGATTGCCATTGAGCAAACATAGAATCGGCTACAAAAAACACGCCTTAGATATATTAAAAAATGTGTTTTGATTAATGCATTCTCTTGTACATTCGAAGAGAGAGACACCCATCTATTGGTGGTATATAGTACATGTATGCAAATGTTTAAGCCGATTATTGAATCATTGTACCTGGCAACTGTTTGTATTTTTCATGACAAGACAAATATTTTAAAAAATAAATAAATACATATAGAATTAGAATATCACTTTTTTTCTGGGAACAGTGCAGAATACTAACTACAAAGCTGAGTTTCAACTGCTCTATGTGTCCAGATGTTCTACAAATGTCACAGGTCTTCACTACATTGTATTTTAGTGTTTTATATTGTTCTGATATAAAAGTATGTGGGGTCTAGGACACCAGTTATAGGATTATATAACAAAGAAAAAAAGACTCAGGCACTCACTGTGTTCTAATCAAAGCAGTTTATTAGACCATCATGTGCACCGTAACGTTTCAACCTTCACCGAGGACTTTGTCAAGTGTGTATGTATGTATATAACATAATATATGGTGACCACAGACCACATCTCAGTTCCTATGCTTCCTGCCTGATGTTTTGGTCACTTTTGAATGCTGGCGGTGCTTTCACTCTAGTGGTAGAATGAGAAGGAGTCTACAAACCACACAAGTGGCTCAGGTAGTGCAGCTCATCCAGGATGGCACATCAATGCGAGCTGACTGTCAGCGTAGTGTCCAGAGCATGGAGGCACTACCAGGAGACAGGCCAGTACATCAGGAGATGTGGAGGAGGCCGTAGGAGGGCAACAACCCAGCAGCAGGACCGCTACCTCCTCCTTTGTGCAAGGAGGAACAGGAGGAGCACTGCCAGAGATTTGATTTCCATTTTTTAATTTTTGTGTGATTTTGTTGTCAGCACATTCAACTATGTAAAGAACAAAGTATTTCAGAAGAATATTTAATTCATTCAGATCTAGGATGTATTATTTTTGTGTTTATTTTTTTTGAGCAGTGTATATGAGCTTTTTTTTTTCTCAGCACCCTTTTGTCCTCTCTATTGCTTATTTCTTACTTGATTTATAAATAAACTAAACATTTATTGACTGACCCTTAGCCATCAAGCATTATTCCACTATATTTCTGGCCCCAAAACCCCAGGGAAAATGGTGTCTAATTCTAGATCTAAAGGGTCTGAATACAAAATTGATGACAAGAACATTCAAGATGGAGTCTATTACCACTATCCTGCCCAATATAAAGCCAGGGAACTGGATGACATCTATCGATCTCAAAGATTCCTATTATCAAATTCCTATTCACAACAGTCATCGCCGGTTCCTGAGGTTCTGGATTTCGGGGAATCACTACCAGGTCAAGGGACTTCCCTTCGGATTAAGTTTTGGCCCCCAGAACGTTTTCAAAGATCCTTATTTCCCTGGTAGCCTTTATAAGAACAAAGAACATCGAGCTTTATCATTATCTCAACGATTTTTTAATAATAGGCCCATCCAGACATATTGTGAATCTCCACACCAGAATTACCATCTCATACCTTCAAGAGCATGGTTGGTCGATAAATCCCAAAAAGAGTTCTTTGGTTCCGTCACAGAGGATGATATTTTTGGGAGCAAATATAGATTCGGAGAAAGGCCTGGTATCCCTATCTACAAAAAGAAAGGAGCGAATCGTGAAGAAAATCAGAGGACTGCGTCAGGAATCCTACATCACAGCAAGAGAATTCATGAGCCTATTGGGGTCTCTTACTTCCACGATAGGCCTAGTGAAATGGGCCCAATGGAAGATGTGACCTATTCAGAGGCATTTTCTCATGCACTTCGATGCAAAAACAGGGAATTGGGATCAGAAGATTCGTTTCCTCCCGAGGATTTCAACAGATCTGTATTGGTGGACAAAAGAAGAAAACCTATGTCAAGGGTTTCCCCTGGAAGAACCAGTTTGGATAACCATAACAACAGATGCCAGTCTCCTGGGATGGGGAGCACACTTGAACAACTCGTGGATTCAAGGAACATGGTCATGGAAGGAGTCAAAACTTCATTTGAATTTAAGAGAAATGAGAGCGGTTCTCAGGGCGCTAAAGGGGTTCCGTCATCTCCTGAGGAATGCTTGGGTGAGAATACATACAGACAACAGAGCGGTCGCATCTTATATAAATCATCAGGGAGGCACCCGAAGCTTTTCTCTTCTGATGGAACTATCTCCTATAATGAAGTTTGCGCAACGCCATTTACAAGGATTGAAAGCTGTTTACCTTCCAGGGCCAGAAAATTTATTAGCAGATTATCTCAGCAGAACAAGGATTCTCCAGGGAGAGTGGAAGTTACATCCGGACGTATTTCAGTTGGTAACCCTGAGGTGGGGAGTACCCCAGATCGATCTTATGGCATTATACAACAATACCCAGGTAGAAAAGTTTTACACTCTACATGCGGATACTCGAGCAGCAGGACAGGATGATCTGTCCCTTACATGGAAATTCGACCTGGGGTACGCATTCCCTCCCCTACCTAGGATTTACAGACTACTAAGAAAGATATGGAAAGAAGGTCTGAAGATAATTGCCATCATCCCAATTTGGCCTCGCAGACCTTGGTTTCCTCTCCTGAACAAGATGAGCCTGGAACCTCCTTGGCCTCTTCCTCAGACATCTTGACCCATGGACCGGCTGTTCATCCAAACCCCAACCAGCTGAAATTGGGGGCATGGCTCTTGAAAAGGAGAGACTTCTAGCTCAAGGCATTTCTGAGCCTGTGGTTAATACCCTACTCAAATCCAGAAGAGGGTCGACTTCTTCTTGCTACCACCCCCTTTTTTCTTAGTATATTGTGTATGCACATAAACAAGTTAAATTTATTGCTTGTGGTAGAAATGAAGCACCCCTAGTGGCCGTCTGAGTGACAGCCACTGGAGGTGTCCCTAGGGAGTTTTGTAAACATTGCCTTTTATTAAAAAATGTATGCAGGGAGTGAGTATACACACCAGAACAACTACATTAAGATGTAGTTGTTCTGGTGCCCTCACAATAAAATAGCTTTTTCTCCATTCCATCCATTCAGGGAACGGTACTGTGTAGAGATGAGCGAACCCAAACTGTAAAGTTCGGGTTCGTACCGAACATTATGATTTTTGGAACCCGAACACGGACATTTCAGTAACAGTTCGGGTTCGAATTCGGTGTTTGGCGATTTAATGGCGCATTTTGAAAAGCTGCAGGGCAGCCAATCAACAAGCGTTTGACTCGTGTGCCCTTAGAAGCCATCACACCCATGCCTACTAAGGGCATGGCTGTGATTGGCCAGTGCAGCATGTGACCCAGCCTCTATATAAGCTGAAGTAACTGTATTAATTACGCCTGTCACACTGTTTTTTTTCTCTTTAGGACACCGGCACTGCCTTACTGTCAGTGAACTTAATTGTTGACTATTGGCGGTTACACCTGACATAAACCATCTGTTAGTTTGGGTCTGAGCCGGATAGCAGTTTGGCACATGTCCTTCCGCCACTGAGGATTGCAGGGCAATTGCACTTTGCCTCCTGTTGCCTCCTCCTCCTACTCAGCTTCCTCGTCCTTCTCTACCACCTCCTCATCCCGTCAGCGTAGCACCTTCACCACCAACTTCAGCACAGCCAGGGGGAAATGACAGCAGGCTGTTTTAAAACTCATATGTTTTGGGGGAAAAACCCCACACCGCATAGGAGCTGTGGACGGGCATGGAACAACAGACCGATGAGTGGTTGCTGCCACTGAGCCTCAAGCCCGGCCTGGTGGTGTGCGATAATGGGCGAAATCTCGTAGCAGCTCTGGGCCAGCCGGTTTGACGCACATCCCTTGCCTGGCGCATGTGCTGAATTTGGTGGTGCAGAAATTCCTGAAAAACTACCCAGATATATCAGAGCTGCTGCAGAAAGTGAGGGCCATCTGTGCGCGCTTTCGGCGTTCTCACCCTGCTGCTGCTCGCCTGTCTGTGCTGCAGCGTAACTTCGGCCTTCCCACTCACCGCCTCATATGCGACGTGCCCACAAGGTGGAACTCCACCTTGCACATGCTGGAGAGACTGTGCGAGCAGCAGCAGGCGATAGTGGAGTTTCAGCTGCAGCACGCATTGTGTCAGTCGCTCTGCACCAGACTTGCCCTCCAATACATCCTCGTTATAGTATTTAAAGTGTACTCATTCCAATTACAGGGCCTCGAAAGAGTCTTGTATTGTTATTTATCGTCACTACTTCGCCGCGTCGGGAGTGGGTGCGCCTGCCTGCTGCCTTCCTTGGATGTGGTAGCTGTTTCTCATGCTCCTTCTCCGGAATCGAACCCTGATTCCCCATTACCCATGGTCACCATGGTAGGCACAGAAAGTACCATCGAAAGTTGATAGGGCAGACATCCGAATGCATCTTCGCCGTCACGGAGACATGCGATCTGCCCGGGGTTATCTAGAGTCACCAAAGTGCCTGCACAAAGACTGCCGAGTTGCCCACATTCTAACTTGTGCTGATTACTGGGTGGCCACCCTGCTGGATCCCCGTTACAAGGACAATGTGCCATCCTTAATTCCCTCACTGGAGCGTGATCGGAAGATGTGCGACTACAAGCGCTGGTAGACGCGCTGCTGAAGGCATTCCCAACTGACACGGGGGCTCAGTGGAAGCATAAGGAGGAGGAGGAAGAGGTCGGCAACGCAGCTGGGGCACCACCAGCACCTCAGAAGGCAGGGTTAGCATGGCCGAAATGTGGAAAAGCTTTGTCAGCACGCTACAACAACCAGCACCACCAGCTGATATGGAACGTTTTAGCAGGAGACAGAATTTTAGCAACATGGTGGAACAGTACGTGTGCACACGCCTACACGTACAGAGTGATGGGTCTGCCCCAGTCAACTTCTGGGTCTCTAAATTGGGCACATGGCCTGAGCTTGCCCTTTATGCCTTGGAGGTGCTGGCCTGCCCTGTAGCCAGTGTATTGTCTGAACGTGTGTTTAGCATGGCAGGGGGTGTTATCACAGACGAGCGAAGTTGCCTGTCCACAGCCAACATGGACAAGCTCACGTTTATTAAAATGAACCAGGCATGGATCCCACCAGACTTGTCTGTACCTTGTGCAGAATAAACATTTATACCGGCCTCACCCAGCCATTGTTACTCAAGTGCACTTATTCTTTGTTTTCTTTTTTTATATGTACCAATATTTTGGGGGCTACCCCAATTGTTTGCAGAGCATTTGTCCTACTCTTACCCCCATTTTACTTCATTTTGCAGCCCTCTAGCCCTTTCCAGGACTTTTACTCTTACCCCCATTTTACTTCATAAAATGCAGCCCTCTAGCCCTTTCCAGGACTTTTTTAGAGCCATTTTAGTGCCCAAAAGTTCGGGTTTGGGGTCAAGTTTGGGTCAAAGAACTCTTTGCCGAAGTTCGGCCGAACCCAGTGAGACCGAACATCCAGGTGTCCGCTCAACTCTAGTAGTGATGTACCGAACGGTTCGCCGGCGAACGGTTCCCGGCGAACATAGCATGTTCGCGTTCGCCACGGCGGGCGAACATATGCGCGGTTCGACCCGCCCCCTATTCGCCATCATTGAGTAAACTTTGACCCTGTACCTCACAGTCAGCAGACACATTCCAGCCAATTAGCAGCACAGCCTCCCTAGCAGACCCTCCCACCTACTGGACAGCATCCATTTTAGATTCATTCTCAAGCTGCATGCTTAGTAAGAGGAGGGAAAGTGTAGCTGCTGTTCATAAGATAGGGAAAAGCATAGCTAGGTTAGGGATAAGGGTATGCTTTTTTTATTTTTTTTTTCTATGTAATGTAAATGCACTTAGTTGTCTGCCACTGCTGCCAGCTTCTGTGTCAGGCTCACAGTGCCCATTTCCCCAGTCAGTGCCACCAATTACATCTGGTGTCACAATAGCTTGGATTTAAAAACAAAAAACTTTTTTCACTGTTATAGATTGAATAGCAGTCAGTTGTCTGCCAGCTTCTGTGTCAGGCTTACAGTGCATACTGTGCCCATTTCCCCAGTCAGTGCCACCAATTACATCTGGTGTCACAATAGCTTGGATTTAAAAACAAAAAACTTTTTTCACTGTTATAGATTGAATAGCACTCAGTTGTCTGCCACTGCTGCCAGCTTCTGTGTCAGGCTCACAGTGCCCATTTCCCCAGTCAGTGCCACCAATTACATCTGGTGTCACAATAGCTTGGATTTAAAAACAAAAAACTTTTTTCACTGTTATAGATTGAATAGCAGTCAGTGTCCTTAAAGCGGGTGTGTTACGCTAACAGTGGATACGCTGACAAGTGCACCTAATTAGATCTGGTGTCACAATAGTTTGGATTTAAAAAAAAAATAATCTTTTTTCACTGTTATAGATTGAATAGCAGTCAGTGTCCTTAAAGCGGGTGTGTTACGCTAACAGTGGAT